AGCACCGCGTGGACCTCTGGACCCTTGGCCGGTGACGGGAGGGCAGCTGCGGCGCCGCACCGTGTGTGCGTCCCAGGGGCTTTTACAAACCCCACGAGCCCCGGGGTCAGTCCTGAGCAGCTTGCCTCGCCTGGCCTTGCCCTGGGACCTTGGGTCTCTCCAGGCGGCACCTACTTTCCCGGGCCCTTACGAAGCCTTTCGCACGGCGCCGTGCCCAGCCCGCAGGGTCGGTAAGTGGTGTTTGGAAAGCGCGTCTGTCCTGACCGATGGGCAGCGGGGTCAACCCAGGACCTCGTGTTTTCCCACGTGCCGCGCCTCCAGCGCCACCTCCCGCTCAGAGCGGAGTCCCGGAGAGGAGGGCCGGTGCGGCCCCGCTCTGCTCGTCTTGTCTCAGCATCATGGCTCGGTGTAGGTGACACGGAGAGGCCGCAGCCCTGAACCTGTGCTTGGGGCGTGCCGGGAAGCAGGCCCAGCTCTGCGGCGGGGCAGGGCCACAGTGACCTCCGGCGCGGGGGGCGCGCTGCTGACAGGAGAGTGGGCGGCAGTGTCCCTGACGCCGTGCGCACAGGGCACACTTACCAGGCGGGACGGTGACCAGCACGGCTGGCGCTGGGGCTTTAGCCCAAGTCCCGCGTCTTGGAAACAGAAACATAGTTCTCCCCGGTCCCGCCACCTGTCCGCGGTAAGTGGCTATTATTTCATCATTTTGCAGTAAAAGAAAATAGAATAACGATTTATACCTCCGGCTGACGTGTTAATGTGTCTCTCCGTTACCCCGGCTGACAGTCTGTGGTTGCAGTAAATGCTTCCTGGGTGACACGCGGTGACGGCTCGTTACAGGATTAGTCCGGGCTTAAATCCCTGCTGGGCCCTGCCCGCCTGGCCTGGCCTGGCCTCTGTGCTCAGCCGGGACCCCAGCACGGATGCGGGGCTTCAGGGACACGGAGGCCAGAGCCACAGCCCAGCCCTGTGATGCATGTCCCTGTTGGTCACACACCTCCGCCTCCGACTTCTGTGTCTGTGACTCGGTTAGTTTTAAATAAAAGCAACTGCATCGGCTTCACGAGACAGAAGGAGCAGCAGCAGCGAGAGGCGCTCTCGTTCCCCCAGGGAGAGACGGGGCTGACCCCGGAGGGCAGAGCTGGAAGGAGGGAAAGCTACGTGTGGAAACCTCCGAAGAGCCATTTGAGTATCGTCCTCTTGGCTCAGGCCCCAAACGATCGTGTAAGAAAATGCTCTCCTCGCGATTTTTTGTGATAAAAGGTGTTAGTGGGCTCTGTGCCGGGATAGCTACCTGGCACCTCGAAATGTGCTAGTGACACAGAATTGGTTCAGGGCAGCTTCAGAGTCCTTCCCACACAGCAGGGCTCAGCGCACTGGCAGGCTGACGAGTTCTGTGCAGCGAGTTACATACCATGTGCGTATGTGCGGCAGGGCCTGTCCTGTCTTTAGTGCCCCTGGGGTCCTGCCCCGGGGGGTGCGTGGCCCCCAGCCTCTTTCTTTCCTGCAGGGCCTGGTGTCTGTTGGCATTTTTTTGGATGGAAAATTCCCGGAGCAAAAGCAAAGGGCGGATGTCCTGGGTGGTGGGCGCTGGGGGTGAGGAGCCGGGACTCGCAGGGGATCGCTTGACTGTGCCTATTGTCTCGGGCGCCTGGGAAGGGACACGGCGCTGCAGGGCCGTGTGTGGGTTTATGTGGCGCTGCCCAAGGTGGCAGGGAGCCCAGCTGCGCCCTCTGGGTCCTGCTCTGCAGGTGGCGGCGTCCGGCCCTCACCCGGCTTCTGACTTCTGTTTGCAGCCCGTGTACTTCCACACGTCCTTGAGCCACCCGAGCATCGTGGCCGTGGTGGAAGTGGTCGCCCACGGCAGGAGACGGGACGGGACCCTCCAGAGCCTGTCGTGTGGGTTTGGGATTCTTCGTATCTTCAGCAGCAAAACGGAGTCTCCCCGCATGGCCTCCCAGGACAGACGGTACCTCCTTGCGTCCTCACGTCCGGTCCTTGGGTCCCTGTCCTTGGCTTTTCCTCGTCCCCATGCTGGTGAAACCGCGGCCCGCTTGGCCACACAGATCGGCTACGTGTGTTGGCTGATGTGTGTGTGCACACGGCACCGGTGGTTCTGCTTGTAACCATTCCAGCCCAGCCGAAGTTGCATTGCCCCCTGGGTCTCTCTCTCAACGCGGCCCCTGACCTTTTGGGCCAGAGAGGTCTTTGCTGTGGGTTGTCCTGTGAGTGTAGGATGCCCAGCACGTCCCTGGCCTCCACCCACAAGGTGCCAGGAGTACCTCCCCCTTGGTAATGACAAAAATGTCTGCAGGCATTACCGACTGTGCCTTGGGGGACAGAATCGTTCCTGGCTGAGAGCTGCCATCCTACATGGACAACCATGGGTGGGGTTCAGCTCCTATCTTTCTGGGGGTGTTTCAGTCACTATGGGTTTCCCTGCGAGGCTTCCTGGGCCCAGGGGCTCGGGCTGCACTGCAGGTGCTGGGTGCATGGGCTGGGAGCTGGGCGCACGGGCTGGGAGCTGGGCACAGGGGCGGGAGCTGGGGCGCACGGGCTGGGAGCTGGGCG